ATGTACTCAAAATTAGCTTAATGAAATTTCAGATTCCCCCCTTTATATCAATCGCGTCGAGTCTGGATCCCATCTCACTGACAACAACCGATCATTATACTACTCACATACTATACCTATTTCCATAACATTGTTTTCGAGTATCAAAAGTATTGGATCGTCCTAATTCAAGCAAGTTAAGCAGCAATAACTCTCTATCTAATAAACGTATAATGATGTGATGATATATATCGCTATCATGTCGACACGCGTCGAATGGTAGTCTTAGCAAATTAATGTCAATTTCGGTAATAATAATATACGGACCTTTAATTCCATCACAAAAAGTTTAATGAATTTAATAATTAATTTATATGTACAGTATTGGGATTTGGTTCATCAGATCAAACTTAAATTTTTCTTTTGCTTGAGTAAAATGGTGAAGTTTGTTGAATACCAACTGTCTTCAAACTTGAACCATGGAAAACCTTTGTCGAGACGGAAATCCAACAATTCTTCATTAAAATAAAACATTCAAAGTTAGCTTCTGTAATTTCAGGACGTATTTCTTTGAATATCTCGATAATCAGCAATACTATCAAAAAGTTGGGTCCGGTTATAAATTCTCACATTATTATGGGCATCAATGTATTGTTAAACCAATTTAAGGAATTAAATTTCTTAATGTGATGTGATTCATGTCGTATTCGTGTTAATTCAAATCTGCAATCATGCATCTTTGAAATATATTTGACTATGAGAATCACGATGTATCAAGTTTAATAAAGAAATTCCTATTCAAATAAATATAATCAAGTTAATAAAAACTGTAGCTAAAGAGATTATTAAAAAAAAAATGTTCATTTTACGTACCACTCTGTTTTCGCGCGTGATATTTATCAAAATCATTTATTGTCCAAAGCATGAGGACAATCAATTTCTACGTCAAAGCAATGCAATGTCGTTCTGTCCTGCATATTGATCAACCAATAGAATTTTGCGTTGCTGTTCATGTGTGGTTCACAAAAATTGAACATTAATTTTTAATATAAGTCCTGTTACCGTTCCCTAGTATTAAAAATAATTATGCAAAGTTCCACCTGTATTTTCATTGCAAGCAAATAATTCCTGTCTCAGGATCTTGTTTGATATTGTAGCAAAAATATTATAAAATATTAGATTATTTTATTGATAATTGTGGAGAACATAATATTAAATAGATTTTACCTCATAATTACAAATATGTTCTGAATCTTCCTTAGACTATAACTATTTTACTGCTGTAGCATCTGATACTCTAAAATCTTGAAGTGGCAAAACTCATGAATGATATTTGATATCCAACATTTGAACTTTTTGCATGGAGTTTCTCTGTCGTTTCATAAGAATAATATTTGTAGTCTCCACATAAACTATATAATACACTGCTTCAACTGCTTTTAGACATAATTTAAAAATTACTTTATTTTGTAGATACGAAAAATTGTTCAAATTGGCAACGTAAGAATGGAAATTTTTTTTGTAATAATTTTTTGTTTAAATCGCATTTATTAAAAGATATTGGATTAGGTTTTAATTTTGACGATTTGGGAAAAAATTTTTTTTTTAATTTTATATAGGAAAGTATGTAACACGTCGCACTAAACAAAAAATTCATTTAATTTCTGGATTAAGCATTACCAATATTGTGATCTCCACTCAAAATCCAAACTTTTTTTTTTTCGTGCTCACTCTAAACGTTTTATGAATGATTTCACTTATATTTGAACATAAGTACTTTCTTCTTTATAAAGTACAAGTAACTCATTACATGTTATTTAATTCTTATAATAAAATAATATATAAAATTATAAGTTTTAAAGGTAGCCAATTATATCGGAATAAATCAGGAGAGAATAATTGAATATCAAAGGTTTTGTGGTTTTCCATCCGTCGACGTCGAACCTTTTTGCGGTTTTGAATTTTTTAAAAAAAAAAAAATTGGAAAAGCGTCAAACTAATTTTGGTTTCGACGTTTGTGGAAACCTCGGTTTGCAAGGCAAAGTATGCCAAGAAAATAACCATCTAGTTTGAAGATTATGAAATTCCATACAAACATTGACAAAGAATTATTTTTTTATTCTTCTACATTGAAACTCAAAAATTATAAAGAATGATGTTTATTATAGCTTTGAACAAGGTGAAATTATTTTCACAATCCAGACTCAAAAATAAACATTCCGGTGGCTGAATATTTTTTTTTTTTTAAAAAAAAATAGGTAGAAACCCTTTCTTGCTGTAAGCGAGTCTCTGTTTTTAACCAAAGTTCTATTTTCTATGAAATTCAGGAATACATACAGTGAAAATTTTAGTGAACAAAAGGAATAAACTTGACCGTAAATCACGATATTAATTTCCAAACCAAATTAAAATAATTTTACGATCCCTATTGACAAAGCCCCATATTATAAATATAGCGATTGGCCGGGTTTATAATTTTACCGTAGCAAATTTTTGCTTATTAATACAGTTGCCAATAATTGCTTATTATTGCTTATCGTAATATCGTTATCAATGAAAATCATATAAGACTCAAAAATCGTAACTGAAAATTATCAAACTAACTGCTTAAAATAGTATAAAGAAAAATTGAGCAGAGGAATAGAAATAAGTAGTATGAACAGATAAATCAAAATTCTCTCTTTTCAATCAAATAGTTGAGCAAGAGTATGAAAAAGTCCTTATAAAGCATATAATAATTCAAAATCGTAAACTCAAACTCTCTCCTCCATGTATTTGTCTGCACACAAGGCAACTAAAAAACTTGGAATCTCGTCAGATACCTTACGTCGTTGGCTAAAGCAAGGAAGAATTATCGCTAAAACGACTCCTTCTTTACGACAAATCTTCCATTTTTCCAGAGTTGACTTCCCAAGATGTCGATTACACCACCGCCGCCGCCACCACCACCACCACCACCAAAAAAGGGTTCCTCTATGCACGGGTCTCTAGTGTCAAGCAAAAGAGGATCTTGAACGGCAGAAACAACTCCTCAGATCTGATACCCAACCTACGAACTCAATATGAGTTGAAAATCTCAAGAAAGCCGTCATTGGTTCGTGATATAATTTTTTTTTATCATCATACAAAGTTGTGTTTAACAAATATTGATTTATATCATTTCACTTAGCTCGACACAGAGAAAATAGAACATTGATGATGCAAATCAACGAATTTATTTCCAATCCAATTGAAAAATATTACGAGAATTCAGGAAATAATCAAGCTGTAACATTACAGTTAAAAATTTTGTCGAATGATTTGGCGAATGCAAGAGCGAAAAGAAACATTATATGAAATATTTTATAAGGATAAATCCTTAAAAGTGGAGTGGATTGGGTGAATGACGAACATTTATTGAATTTGATACTTATTATGAAGAGGAAATCTAAATTGAAACGTGAAAATGTTACCTATTCATTTTAGAAAAACGGAAATCATGTGATGTCTTATTATAAAAACACGTAATGCATTCTTTTAGTAAAAAATCACGCAAAATTTCCTACAAAAATTTCAATTTTTCACTAATTTTTTTTTTGTTTCAATTCTAAATTATGAAAGTCTTTTCCAGTTTAGTAACACGCATCAATATGCGATAAGATCCAGCATAAGAAACTCATTTTCAATACGAACTTTCAAAAAAGGGTTAAGTTTAAACGCTGTAGTAAAGGATATGCCAAGCATGAATATTGTTTTCAAGCACTGCTTACATATTACGTGTTTAATCAAAATAAAAATTTTCAACTATTGACAGAAAGATTTAATGAAGCTGGAGTAGAAATGTTACCGGGATGGCTTCATGAAAAGATTTTCCCAGATAATTCTTCCAATGTTCCAGTACAAGCTGAAGTAGTTGAAATTGCGTTGAAACATTTGGAACATCAAGGTCTAAAAGGAAAGGAAACAGAAAATTTCCCTAATGTTCCTGAATTCGATATACAAACTTATGCGGCAATTCTATAGCTGAATATTTTTGGAATATTGGAGAACGCAAAGCGAAAATATAGAGGACTAGCAATGAAATTCGCCGAATCAAATCTCTTAAATATGCCATCAGAAAAAAATTTGTTAATTAAACCTGGGTGGACTCGCTTTGAAAATAATAATCAGTAGAATTTCCACGTGAAAAATTGTTGTGTTTTGATGTTGAAACGTTATTAAGTAATATCAATTATGGTCTTATTGCATGTGCTGCATCCTCAAGTGCTTGGTATACTAGATATCGCCGCATTTAATTGAATTTAAAGAAAAGAGATTAGGAGTACTTTTCAAGAAAAACGGTGAGTGTAATAAAAAATAAGAAGAAACCCTAAAGTGAATTTTATGGAATGATGAGACAAGATCGAAAAAGACAAAGCTACTAAGAAATTTTGAAATAAATGACATTTCAGATCAGAATAATCAAAATTTGGCAAATGATGAAAGTATTATTGGAAAAAAAATAAAAAAAACCTACTGCTAGGAAAAAGAAAAGGAATAAAGGTCTTGAGAGTATAGAAATTGAGAATGAAGTAGATAACTTAAACCTTATTGGAGATTACGAAGTTGGTAGTTTAATACCAATGGGAAAAGATAAGATACTAATCGGTTATAATGTTTCATTTGGTTGTACAAGGATCCAAGAGGAATACCATTATAAAGCATCTGGTAATAAAAAAAATTTTTTTTAATTCCCTTTATGTGTTACTGGTTACGAATGGGATTGAAAAAATTCTTGAATAATACATATATATCCTTTTGTTTTTATAATGAAATAAATTCAGAAAATTTTTATTCATCTGCTGAGCAACAAGAAAAACTTGTAGAATCAGAGTGCAAATTTACAAATGAAAAAGTAAAAAAAATTGTTGAATTTAAAAAACAAATATGTGGGGATATTAATAAAGGATTTGTTGTCATTAATAAAAGGAATTGATCCTTTGTTATTGGATCTTCTCTGTAAAAATAGAATTCTTGCATTGAGACGTGCCAAGTGAAAAAATATGGAAAGGTGATTTATTGTATCATGTCATGTATTTCCTTTATTTATTTTATTTTTTTTTGACACAAAATTATTTTTTTAGATTATAACTTATTTGTGAAGGAGTCGCACAAAATTTTGTGGGTGATTTGTCTCCAGAAGTTCTCAGATATACAAGACTTATTTATAAGTACACTCTTGGAGAAGAAAAATATACCTTTATTGAAGAGGTTAAAAATCCAAAATCTGTTATGATATTGGTTAAAGGACCTAATTCTCACACAATTGCGCAGATTAATGATGCCATCTGTAATAAATTGCGAGCTATAAAGAATGCAATTGAAGATAAATGTATAGTATTAGGAGCAAAAGCATTTCAAGTTGGACTTTCATCTCACTTGAATAAATTTAAAAGTTCAGTCAAGAGAAAGGCCAAGATGGAAGTTTAAGCATTTGCAGACGTAATGTTGATAATTCCTAAAGTTTTATCACAAAATGGGGATTCAATGCTCAGGATACTATTGTTGCTTTATAGGGTAGTTTAATCATCATTATTCAAAGAACGTTTTAATTTAGAATTTTGTGCATGCAAAATAACTAAAACATATTATTGTATTATACTATTATATAAACCAATATTTGATCAATAAGACTTTTTTTTTAATAGGAGGAATTTGCAGCAGAATATATTGTAGGAGTTAATTTAATATAGAAAATATACTTGATCCTATCGTGAATAGTATTTGGGATAATTATTATGTTGTTTGTCATATGTTGCATTTCTGGTAAGATTATTAATATTATTGCATTCCATTTGCAAATAAACTTTCAAAAAATGCTTAAACTTTCAAAAAGCTTAACCTTTTGCAAGTTTTTTTTTCTATTTAATGTTTATTACTGCCACTCAGGCTTTTTCTATCCTTGGTGTTTCTTTATGTATACTTTGTCATTGACATCACAACAGTAAAATAATAGCATTTCATTCACCAGGTGATGTATGACTTTATGACGTCTTAAATATTATAGATTCTACTACCACCATCACTACTATCATCTTCACTGCTCAGGTCTCTAGTATCAAGCAAAAAGAGGACCTTGAGTGGTGAAAGTAACTCCTCAGCTCCTTCCTAACCTATGAACTCAACTCAGATATCTACTTCAAATAATTAGGATTTAAGACCTTATTAGAATGGACAAGTCACAGAATAGTTTCAAAAATTGTGGTTACCTATTATGACTAACTTTTACTATTTCGCCTTTAACCTCATCCAGTATATATTCTCCTTCTATACTATAAAACTTATAGTTTGCTTTGATGATGTGACCTCTGATAAATACGAACTTTTCTAAGATATCCTTGCAATCAACACAGTCTTTATCTGTTGAATACAAGGAAGAAGAGCCGTTATTCACTGACGAGAACACCAGGTTAGGAAAAAAGTATAAGACAAATATTAGGATAACATCAGCGTGCAACAAGTGACAACATTTGAAAACTACTCTCAATTGTATATTGCTAATTAAAGTGTATCCAAATCACCCTTAAAAGCAGCTATTGAAACGTTAGATGGGCTTGATGAAATATACTTATAATGCAGTTATTCACTGGAATCGATACCACTGTTTATATACTAAGAATTCATATATTAGTCCATCACAACGAGTTTAGGTAAAACCTTAACCTATTGAAGATAAACTTAAACTTTATGCAGATGTTTATGTAGGAAAAGACGTTAATGAACATAAGGGTAAGAAACTTCAAAAATCATATGTATGAGATGAATGCAAATGCGTATAAACTATTGTGCGTATTGGAATGTTACTTCAAGGTACACATGAAAAAGCACCTGCAAATGTTATTGATGAGGCAATTGATAAAGTATTGACTACTAGGTATGATTATTATTTTTTATTTTTTATTTAAAAATTTTATTTATTTTTTAATTTTTTTTTTGATTTTTTAATTAATTTAGAGATAAGATAATTAACCATAATATAGGATCAAACACGAAACAACAAGGTTCATCTTTATCATTTTGATCTCAAAAAGATTTATGATAAACAATAACAATTCGTTCACAAAATTTTTCAAAATCTATGCAGAACCGTTTTTATGCCACCTATCTCCACAATCTATTAATGCTTTCCACACATTGTCATAAGCCTGTTGTCACTCTGGATCATAATTAACGTGATTTGTGCCTCTTCATTTTAAAAAAAAAGACATAATAATAAGTGGCCTGTTTCTCACAAGATAACATCTGATTGTAAAATCACATATATTTGTAAAACTAATGAATGGAAATTTTCATGGATTTATGAGATGCAAAAACAGCTCTGCGAAACCCAAGCAGATGGTTCTGTTTATGCAGTCTCCATTGATCCTGGCGTTCATACACCTTTCACATGGTACTCTCCTACTAAAGGTATAGGTAAAATTGGCCAATATGACATTGAACAAATTATTCGTTTATGCAAATAATCTTCATTCTCTAAGGGACAAGCTGGCTTCCTCTAATTCAAAACGTAAAAATAAAAAGGTCTTGCGACTTGATAATGCAATTTCTCGGATGATACAAAAAATCAAACATCTGCAAAGTGAAATCCATAAAAAGAGTGTTACATTTTTTACTCACGAATTTGATGCCATTATCATTCCTCCTTTTGAGGTATCAAATATGATAATTGAAAAACAAGAAATATAACGTGAAAAATCTGTTTGTAAAATGCTCTTTTGGGCCTACTATCAATTTTGCCAACATCTGGTAGCTAAAGCTGAAGAATTATGGGACTATGTTATTATCCAGAATGAGGCCTATACTTAAAAAACCTGCAGCTGGTGTGGGAGTGTTTAAAAAATAGGAGGATCTGAGATGTACAAGTGCCGAAGTTGTGGAGCTGTAATGGATCGAGATGAAAATGGTGCTTGGGAATTTTTCTCCGGGCTTTGCTTGATGGAGCCTTGATTCTCTCCGGAGATCATGCAGGAAATAATAGTAATGCCTATTATTGATGTATTACAATCCATCCGCATTCCTTAATTTCATGACTATTCGGATAAGTTTTTAATCCGTTTCGTCATAGATCATTATCACTGAAATCATAAATGTACTTTAGAGATTGCGAATAGCGATATGAATGCAATTTACAGAACATTTGGTTAATTGATGGCATGTATGGCAAGTTTATTGTATTAGAAAAAATTTTTTTATAAAATATATACAAATATTTTTTTTTTAGTCTGATTTTTATAGATAAATGATAAAAGATTTTTAGCTATGCCTTAAAAAACATCACTCAAATAATATGATCGAATGATCAAAAAATAATTGTTTAACATAAGATCATTGCCCTTCATCGAACAACATCAAGTCTATCATTTCTGACTCTTCTATTATTTCTTTCTCATTCGTGGTGATTGCACAGTATTCTAACCTTTGCTCTACAATAATCTCCTTATTTGACCTAATAAAATTTATGCAATAATTACTTAATTGTGATGCTTCACAATTTTTTGACCATTCTAAAATTTCACACACATTATGGATATTAATACATGAACTTATAATTGCATTCTCTATTATGTTTTTAAGTTGTTCGATGTTATAAATATCAGTTACAGTTAATAAATGAACTAAAAAATTCAAATAATAGGTTTCATAACATTCTTGTTCTGTTGTAAACGCTTCCTCATTACGTAAAACAGAATTTATTGCATCTTCAAAAGATTGTCCATATAACCATTGAATCAATACCTGAAATGCATCTGGCTGAATATCATTTATCTCAATTTCATTCTTTTCTGCTTCACTAAACCCACGACAAAACATTCCTTCAAAATGAGTTGAAGCGGCTAATAAAATAAATAAATGGATAACATTAATAAAAAAAAAAAAAAAGAAAAAGAAAATCAAAAAGAACGATCATCAAAAAATATATTTTTTTAAGCGTACCCGAAAGTATATATTTGTTAGCACCAATTCTTTTTTTCTCTTTACCGACTATAAAAGTAACATCATTGCCAGAGTCACTTCGTAGTTTGTTCAATAAAGCCTCAATTAACACATCCTTTTGATCATCCTTCACCTTTTTTACATTGGATTTATCTATTTCGTTTAACTCACGAGCTCCTGCAAGAAACAATAATTCCTCATAAGGCATTAAAAATTCTTTAACCCCTTTAAAATCATCAC